TAGGCGGGGAAAGAATCTGAAATGGGCCGAAGGAAAGCCATTTCCTTAATTCGGTCACGTATTCTGATTTTGCTACATTGTATGATATGGGCATACATCTTCACTCATGCTGGATTCTTTCCATCCCTGAAAGACGGGCAATTTTTCTGTGACACGAATTTTGCGCTATCATATGAGCCCGTCACTCCTCCATAACAAATGACCTTTTGCTCCTGCTGTGGTTGGATCAGTCTTAGAAACTATCTTCAGCCCATTGGGGTAGAGCTGGTCACGTTCAGGGGTGAGTGAGGTCATGTGGAAACCTGCTACCAGTGTTCAGATGTCTGAACGGTACTTTTGTCACCTCCACGTGAACATTTAGCAGCAGATGGGGACTTTGAGACTAGACCGGGACATAAGATCCTCCGGTTCTTATCTGGCTGCTCCTGCTGTTTCCCTCTTCCCTGAATCTTTCCCCCTGACCACTGTCACCTCTGCTTTACCTCAATCACAGACTCTCTCCTGGGGCAGGCTTCAGAACTCCCCTGGGAATTGTAGATGTGAAGCTCATTCATCTGGGGCTACTTTTATTTATTTATTTAGATGTACTGTAAGTCTGAGGCTTACGTGTTGCTGCGATGCTGAATGGGCTTCAGTGGAGCTCGCTGATTAAAATGGACTAGAAAGAAAGGTGTGATGCTCTACCTCCACAAACCAGCCAGTAAAAACTCTGCATCACAACCCTGTGACCTGCAGCAGATTCTGGGGTTTGGGCAGGACCATAATCATGTTGTTCCATTATGCATGAGGTTGTCATGGTTTGGGGCCAACTTAATGAAAGCTAACAAAATAAAAAGGTATGCTCATTTAGATTTTGAGGAGAGTTGTTGTCCAGACAAACCATTGTAATAGCTCTATTAAGAGCAACCGTTTTCATTTTCTTTTTATGATGGCATTTGAAACAGTATATAATAGATACACACAGACATTATTTTGTACAAAGGGGATTCAAAATTTGTGGATAAATGGAAGTAAAAGATAATGGAACATTTCTACGAACTTTTTGAAGCTCTCTCATATGACTGTTAGTCAGTACACCTATTGAATGAGTTAATTTTTTTATTAATTACTTTTCTGAAAATTTCTTTCTGTGGCAGCTCAATGTCTGCTTCTTCTATGTATGTTGTTATGC